AGCGGGGGGATCATCTCAGGAGAACGTCTGGCTGGACGGTCATCCCTTGGGGGCGGAGCTTAGGAGAGGGGGTGGGGGGTGTGGCATGGAGGGAAGGGGGAAGGGGGGGGAGAAAGGGGAGGTACCTGTGGTTTAGTCATTTTGAAGGAATCGTTAGTTATATTGGTTATTTACTTGGGGTTTTGGTCAATTTGATGTGTTTAGGGGTATTTGTTGTTTGTATTACTTTTTTTTCCTTTGTATCGGGTGTCTGGTGAATAGACTGTCTATTCCTCTTCGTTAAACCAAGTCACGTTTAAGTAACCTATTGAAATTCATCAGAAAAAAAGGGAATAATCACGATCCATGGCTTCATCACACACACACACACACACACACACACACACACACACACACACACACACACACACACACACACACACACACACACACACACACACACACACACACACACACACACACAAACTCACTCACTCGTTTCAAGGTCATCTAGGTAATCTTTTTTCCTCCTCGCTTAGTGGTCGGAAATAATGCTGAGCCCAACTTTTTCCTTGCACTGAAAGAACGTGGTATGAGCGGCCATTCTTTGTCTCATTTCCTCTCGGTTCAGTAAGATAGAAATATAGTAACAGAGATAAATGAAGCAAATGAGTATGTGAGCTTTTAGACATCTATATTTACGTGTATAACTATATGTGCACACACACACACACGCATACAACACAAACCCACACACGCATACACACAGAAACACGCATACACATAAACATGCATACATATACATACATAAATATATATATATATATATATATATATATATATATATATATATATTATATATATATATATATATATATATATATATATATATATATGTGCGGTGTGTGTGTGTGTGTGTGTGTGTGTGTGTGTGTGTGTGTGTGTGTGTGTGTTGAGATAATTATTTATTCGACATTGAAAAGGTGCCATTTTTGTTATATTTTCAAAGATGTACATTTATTTTCATATTTTACTATATCTAAAGGCATATCAGTATATCAAAATTTAGTGTTATAACAAAACAAACTATAATAATCATTTATAAATGGTTTATTTGTTTAAATGTTCACAATTCAATTTTTTGGGGAAAGAAATCGGTTATTTTAACGATTTTTCTTTCTCGTCCTACCTTCCTCCCGGACACAGGTAAGCTTGGTTCTGGTATTTAAAGTCGTGTTTTATCCTAATGTCATATATTGCAATGCTTGATAAGTTTATTAACGTAATTATTAAATCCCTTTGTATTGATTTGTGATAATTCAGACGCGTCCTGCCTTCCTCCCGAACTCAGAGAGACAGAAATTATTGAGAAAATGTGGTAAGAAAAACTCGCCATAATGCTTTGTTCGAGAGAATATTTGTTATTTATTTAGTTATTTTAGTGGTTCGTGGATACAGTAACGGAAGTAAGTCGCAGGGGACAGTTCCGGTGGTATCAGTGAATAGATTGAGAGGGATATTTTTTTTTTTATTAGAGGGAAGTGTAAGAGAGGAAAATGGTAAAGATGAAAGGAAGGGAAATGATTGGCTTATGTCCTTGGAAAAATCATGGAAAGAACATTGACAGACTGGGTGTGAGGGTCTCGATTCCGTCTCATGTATAATTTTATTTTATTTATGGAAATTATTGTTTTATAATTAGTAGAAAATGGGAGGGTATATAGTTAACCTTAAAAATGTATTAGGTTAGTCGAGAATATTACTTGTTTAAATTATGTTTTTTGCTAAGATTTACAGAATGATATACCACCTGTTCATTGTTTGTTTATTGAATGAAATATTAATGGTTAAAATGTTTCTATGACCGTTACAATAATAGGCACACTCAACATTATAATGAATTCATTCCCACACCCACGAGCCTTAAAAAACATAAATTTAACGGTACAGTCAATGCAGTTAGAATAGGCCTACAATCAAATATATCGCTATTTCACTAAAACTCTTAATTGATTGGATAAAAAGGTATCAAGATCAGGCATGAACATTTACTCAATCTAAAATTTGCAAACGATATTCTCTTCGGCGAGTACGCATGTAAACTACAATTTAAAAATACGAAACAGATGAATTTAAAAGATACAAAGGAAAAAGAAATGCTAAAATCATATCATAATGAAATCTAGATTCGGAAAAACAAAAAGTTATTAAGTAGCAAACAAGTATACATAACTACAGCCAAGGAACTACAAAAAGCATCTATTGCAACTGAAACAGAACGGTGAACGAGGCTGGGTCGGAAGTGCCTTCGTCAGACACAATAACATTCATAGGTTCTTTGTCATTGCGTCCAAAGAGCAGGAGTGTCATGGCATAAAGGTCAGAATCCCGTGCCACAACCAAATTACTGGAATTACTTGGGATAGAATGGGAGCAGCGTGGATTGGGGAACAGGCCAGAGTGGAAGGTAAACGTAGGGGACATTAAAAGAGGAAATTGGAATGGACTGATAAAGAAGGAG